TTGCAGTTAATCTGGTGATATTTGAGTTATGTAGTAGGATGTCTTTGAGTGATTCTGCTCCATCTACTCCCAGTTTATTTTCTGACAAGTCCTTCAGGAGAAAGAAATTATGAAATAAGGATTACTTGACTAACAAATTTGATTCCTGTAATCACAGTGAAATGTGTGTTGAGCATAACTCAAATACAAAACCCAGGTGTATAAGCCCCAGTGTTCACATACAAATACTCCAGATTGGTCTCTATACTTTACACAAAGATTTAATAAAAAGATTATTAAAATTAATAGAAGATCACAAACTTCTTTTGTAAGTGATTATTTTACCAATTCTCACAACCATCCTCTTGCTTGTGTATTGATATTGTTCGGAGAAAATTGATGTTAGTCATTCTTGGGAAATAAAGGGTTAAGAAGAGACAAATGTCAATGAGTCCTCAGCATCATTTTATTCCCACTTTTACAGTAAAACAAATACCTGCCATTAGCAGACACATCTACAGTGTGTGGACACCATTGAGGGTCCTGTGAGTGCCTATCTAATGAGGTTTTATTCTATTAAGATTGAACAGTTCCAGGGTGATCACTAAAAACTGGGAGATTCCACATCAATTCTAGGGGAGAGTGGAAAGGTCCTTACCTCTGTCAATTCCCCTCTCAGTATCCTACACTACAACAAGGATGGGACTATCTTGGATTAGTGCTCTGATTTACATGTAAGCACAGTACTAAGTGACTGACAGCAATTTTCCAAATACTAAATGTGAAACATTTAGCAAAACATTTATAAATTTAGTACATAACCTGTGACACATACCAGATCCGAAATGTAACAGTTTTCTCGAAGCATTTCAGCAACATATCCCGCTCCCTCAGCACCAATCCAGTTATCAGCCAAATTGAGTTTGATCACTGATGTATTAGCCTTCAAAAATACAAAAAAGACAAAACTGGGTATAAGCTCTGTGGATCCTGAGTCTCATGTAGTGTGGAGAATATAATAACAATCATAATCATAATCATAATCATAATCATAATAGTAAATTATGCAAGTCTCAATTCTCTGACAAGTCACAAAAGCTATAAAAAAAATAAATATCATAATTATCCAGTTATGGAAAAAAACAGTAAATAATATTATTAACTTAGAAACACACAATGAAATATGAAAATGATACCTAAAAAAAAGATAAGTTTTCCAGGGCTGTCACTGAGCTTTAGAGTTGAAGGGGGAAATGCAACAAGTAGGTAGGGGAATCAAACAACTAAAGTTTTCTTTTGGTTCTATTTATATTCTGTTTTCCTCATAAAGTAAACAGCCTGACCTCCCCTACCCCCTCAAAAAACGATGTGTATTATTTCCCTTTCAACAATACTCACCACTAAAGCAATTGCTATTGCCTTTGCCCCCATCGGACCCAAACCATGATGCTTAATATCAACTTCAGGTTCTTGCATGTTACGATGAAAGTATGACACTGGGATAACTCCTGAATCCCTACAAGCCTGTAAGTATGTAGCTCTTCCTGTCACATCATATTCCTCTTTGCCCTCTGGGGAAGAAAAACACCAACACTAAAATAATGTACAAACTCTACTGAACTTTGAGAAGCACACACTGTATTTACCATGGTGTACTAACAAATATACCCCAAATTTATCTTATTACCAGGACCCGGTTGTTCAAACATTGGATAGTGCTATCCACTGGATAAATTACTATCCAGTGGATAAGTATTTGGGAAACCAAGTGCACTATCCAATGGATAGAGATTTATCCATCAGATAGCATTATCCACCTTTTGACCAACTGGGGCCTGGAGCATAGCATCCATATATGCACATACGCCTTGCCTAGTTCCTAGGCCTCATTATTATGCACGGCCGATGCGTTTCAGGTCATGTGGTCCGAGAAAGTTTTTGAGGCCTAGACAAACTCGGAGAAATGAGACATTTTGTCTCACTTGGGGCAGAGCTTTTGGAAGCGGGCGAGCGGTCAATAACTTTTCTGCGCTGATGAAAGATGTCCAGCAGCCATGGAGAGTACAGAGGATAAAGAGTTAAACCGAGCATTTTTATTCTATGCACGTTTTCATTGTTGAAAATCCTTTGGCCTTTCTTTTTCATTTATCTTATTAAACTAATTTGAACTTTATTTCATCTAAAAAACTATTTGTAGGCTAAGCAAAACAGCATTGCAAAAAAATTATTAGATCAAGAATCGGAAGGTAAGCTAAAGAAATAAGTTAATATTTTTTCTTGGATATGAAAAGCTATCTTTCATTTCTCTATTTTTGCTTGCTCCTATAAATTTCTCGTTATCATTTCACTTCGAAATATTTTATGTAATTTAATTTTTGGATTTGGAAGCTTATCAAACTAATCGGACAGGCTGTTGAATTTGGTCTCTAAATCTGGTACAATGTCAACAACTACTGTTTCAAATCTTTTTATCAATAAAGAAATATCATTTTAATGGATGATTTGAAAATGAACTAAAAGACAAATTACTTGCCATTATACAGTAGTATTCTTTCCGATTCAAAGTAATATTTTTGTTCTTTGATAACAGAAACCAGGTTAGTGCCGATCTTTAAGTGCAGGATATTCATGCGCAAAGTTATTTATAGATTAATTCAGTTGAACGTGGGAACTTTTAAAAAATGCAAAAATGCTCACACATGCGCACTCCGAGATTGTCTAGGCGTCTTCCGGCCGTTCGTCTCGGATAAGTCACTGAAATGCATTGACCAAGAGGGCCTGGAAAGATGCCTTACAGGGACTAGGCAACACATACGCCTACATGTATACAGCTGAAATATGTAAAAATAATTTTCTATTATTATTATTTTCGGAAAAAGCATTTTTGATCATTAAATCAGGATGACTGTTTTGGTTCGGTTTTGTTCAATTAGCTAACCCACGTAAAACATATCTTCTGGTCTACTCCAGGGGGTATTTAATTTGTACAAACGACCAGTTTCCGGGAAGCAGATGTCAATTAAGACTCCTAAAACAAAAGGTGAGTATTGTATTCGTGTGCAACTGTAAAAAGAAAAGCTCACATTTGCATGCCTTTTCACGCTAAAATGTCACGATTCAAAGGATATTCACGCAACTCAAGGAAAAATTTTTTTTTTTTTCGTACATAAGCTTTACCAAGTCTCTCGAATAAAAGATATTGTTTACTAAAATGAAGTCTTTATTTCTTTCATAACACTGTCAATTCTCGGGGGATCCCAATTTCTATATCATTAATGTAGAGTCCGCCCTTCCAAAATCAAAGGAAAGTTTTATTTTGTCTCAAGTTATAAAATAGCACAAGAAACACACTAGCCATCAGACCTATGTATTCATGCCTCAAAATGTTTGTAGGTAAGCTTACATATAAGCACTATTTGTCTTTTTGAAGGACGTTGCATTGTAAACTTATGTACAGTTTTGGCAGCTGAACCTAATAACCAAACGTTCTAATAAACAATTAGCCTTGACAGCCTCTTTCATTGACAATTATGAATACTTAATGCTATGAATCAAGCTACAATAAGGTTTTACTTTGAAAAAGAACAATATTACTACCTACAATTCCACAAACTTTCTGCTTATAGTTATACCTTCCACTTCTAAATCAGTGTCCCAGTCTTCATCGTCCTCCTTATTTTCGAAGCTGCCAAAGAAAGCATCACCTTCTGGCGATAAAGAGCCAGAAGATTCCCTTCGTAGAAGACCAGTAGGAGGACTAAGAGCTGCCTAAAGATCGGAAAGAATAATATGATCTCTATGTTGTCAAAATAAAATTTTACAAGTCAAGAATGCGCGCATTTACCTTGCGAAAACCGAAGGGCGAACTCGAAGCGCTCGTGCGGTTAAGAATGATGGAATCTTTCTCCGAAGGCGACCGAATCGGAGTAGAAATTCTTTCTGATCCTTCTTCCATTCTTTGATTTCGTATTTTCCATTCAAGAACAAATCCCGTCCCAAAACATAAAGGAGTTTCTGCAACTTCAAACCATCAACCCAAGTTGAATGCTCACGCTGCTGCCTCGCTTGCACGAATGCTCATTTCCTTTCTTGTTACCATAACAACTAGACAACAGTTTTAATTGATGGTGGACATAGTTGATTAATTTTTATCCCAGACAATAAGAAACCCTTTAAGGATCTATAATTGGAGTCTATTCACGAGAGCAAGGCTTTATATGAACGTGAAAATGCATAATAGTAGAAATAAAGAGTAACTGCATAAAGAGTCAGAAGCAGACTCTTGCGGATGTTGCGTGACACTTGCGTAACAATGGAAAAAGAATCTGTAACTGCCACTGCTCCCTTTAATTTTTTGGTCTTAACTTTTCATGTTTCAATGTTTCTCTTATTTTGAAAATCTAAAACCAGAGTTTCATTTCCTTTACGTTAGATGTGTTTCACACATCTTTGTCAGCACCCAAAAAGTCTAATCAGGAGCCCATGGGCTCCTGGTCTAATATATTCCTTTTCTACTAAGATGAGGGTGGCTAACCATGAAAAGGGGATATGGACCTACAAAACGCGAAATAAAAATATGATCTGCGCCCAGACCAGGTTAAGGTTTCAATTTGGTGAGAGTAGACAAAATACAACTAGAAATTCATGGGCTTTCAAACCAAAGTAACAAGAGGTGCACTTGTTCAAAGAACATGTTTTATCAAAAAAATATAAAAAGAGTGCAAGCGCAAGCTGAAAGGTAACCAGTTTACAGGTATAGCAAGGGCTCATAAAAACAATTAGATAAAATTTCAAACGGGAGGAAGAAATCAAATTCCATGAATGAGGAATTTTCAATGGAAATTATCTGCTTTAGCTAGCTATTATACAAAAATTTTTATCTTTGTTTTCATTGTTTTCTTTTCGGTTTTTTCCTTTTGAACAGTGTTCGTTTTCTAGCCTGTGTACAGCCGCCCCCTCCCCTCCTGTTCCCCTTCTCCTATTTTTTACTTGCCTTTTTCCTTGAAAAATTTTGACCGTGCGGAGATTGGGTAAGAAGCAAAGCCCGCAGCTACATCTGGGAAGGTTTTGAAAAGCAACGTCACGATGAGCCAATAGAAAGCCAGTTTGCATCATAACCGAACGCCATTTCTTTTTACTCGGACAGCCTTACATAATTTTGAGTTCGTAAAGTTGTAAAATTTTTATATCCGTACAAAAATAATAATAATGCCGCGTGGTGGAAGGCGATCTAGCGGTCGCTCATCGCCTACGTTTGGTAGAGCGCCACCTCCTGCTCCTCGAGCTTCTCCGAGGCCTTCATCGAGCGTTCCTGCCGCAAGACCTGCATCAAACGTGGCTCAGCCCACACCGGCGACACCACAGCAGCCAGGACTGTTTGGACAAATGGCTTCTACTGCGGCTGGTGTAGCGATCGGTTCAACTGTGGTAAGTTGTTGATCTGATCGTGAACTTTTATCTTTGGTGACATTACAAAAGATATTGTGCACGCGATATTGATAAAAGTTACGAATCCACACTTACTTTAATTTATCACTGATAAAAGTAGATCGTGGCATTTTGTAAAAAGAATTCGTTTTGAAATATTTAACACGATCGTTGACAATTTCAGACTTGTATTCTTAAGAGTAGTGTGGTGAAATTGCGAACAGGTTCTATTGTGGATGTATAGGAAGCTTCAGGGACTCGGGTCCAATCTTGTGCTTATATAATAGTCCAATCAAAAGGACGCCATTTATATACAGTCAACTCTCTTTAAGACAGACACCTTTGGGACCAGTGCTGAGTGTCTTTCTTAGATTGGGAGATGTCCATCGTACAGAGAGTCAAATAAAGGGAGTAAAGGAAGGCAGGGACCAACTCTAAGTGTCTGTTTTACAGATTTGTTTATCTTATAGAGGTGACCCTTACCTGGGGGGTACTCCCTTATCAAGTCTTTGACAGATATGTGCCACTGAATCGGATATGGTTTTCAAGGTCTTAATTCTGAAACAGGGTGTACAATTTTAGGAGCGGGGGCAAGGGAGGTCTCAACACGAGTTCACAAACAAGAATTGCGTTTCACAAGTCATGAAACAAATAATATGTTTTCACGCTTCTCAAAAACAGAGGTCGTACACAATGTCAAAAACGTAATGTTAGTCCCATTATTTTTGCAAAACAGAGTGCTTCGACTATATTTTAGCAAGTTCATTAGAGTTTTATGAACCTTATGAAAAACACCATTTGGCTATAAATTTGCAAGGGAAGCCAGCTGTAAGTGGGTCTGAGCATACTTAAGTGTGAAGTTATATTAAAAGACTTGAAAGTGAAATTGAATCAAGCCACCAAATGCTAGTTAAGGTCGTTTGGCCAAATTAATGATTTATTTTCTTCGATTGATGTTCAATGTACGTGTAAACAATCAAGGATTTTGGCAGTTTAGGTTTCACAGAGTGCACTTCAATTGCGTTTCACAGAACAGTTTTTCAGTACATCGTAATAAATATTTACAGACACGAAAAATGGTCGATCACTTCGTCACAAAAGTAAGCATGCCCCCCGCCCTCTTTTAAATATTTGGGGTCTTTAACAGGGTGTGTTAAATTTAATTAAATACTTGATTATCAACTTCCCTTGGGGACGTTTCATGGACAATGAAACAAATATTTCAAATTGGAACATAACAAAGTTAAAAATCCCAACTAATAGGAGGCAAACCCAATAGCTATTTTACAAGCATGGCCAAGGATGTGAACTCGGGACTACCAAGAACAAATCCAGCTAGCAGCTAGGGCGGGCCTTGAACTCGGGGCCTCTGTAATACAAGTCCAGTGCTCTAACTACTCAGCCATGCTGCCTCTGAAACCAGCAGAAACCTTTATAAGAGTGTGAAAGCTGTGGGTGAGACAAAAGAGACAAAAAATTTAGCTCCATGACATTAGCTTGAAAAATTACCAATTCCGTATGCAAATTGAAACAAGTCAGGGTCATAAAATAAGATGTTTTGTCTTGTCTTAAACAGCGTACGGAAATGTGCTATTTTTGTCTTAAACAGGGTCAGTTTTTGAGGGCTTCAGATGCCAACCAATACCCAAACCTTCTTAATTGCTATATGTTACCACTGAATGGCATGATAAGAAAGTCAGCATGAACTTATATTTGAGTTTTTAGAAGAGATCTACCAGCTGTGCCCCCTGAATGACCTATGTTTCTTTGTAGGGTCATGCTGTTAGTGGTGCTCTGTTTGGTGGACATGGTGGGGGATCAGAGCAACCTGCTTATCAACAGGATGCTGCAGCAGCACCATACCAAAGCTATAATCAGCCAATGAGTGGACAGCAACAGCAGGGTCCATGTCAATTTGAAATGCAGCAGTTTATTGAATGTGCACAGAATCAGAGGGATATTACTCTTTGTCAGGGGTTCAATGAGGCTCTCAGGCAATGTAAATTGGCAAATGGTAAGAAACATTTCAATTAAGTCACATCAAGACTAATCAGCATGTTAGCTTTAGTGCAGAGACATCAATTTTCAATGCAATTTAAGACAAACAGTTCGAGAGGTGCCAATGATAGTCGGGCATCAGATAATGTCCAACTATAATATTGAACCATGTCTGATGAAGTCTTTACTGTGTTAAAATCAGAGAGGATGTCCAGACAAAGTTAACACTAAAGACTATCATTTTGCAGCTGAATAAATTTTGCTTTGAGAGCATGTTAATTGTGGATACCAACAAAATAACATTTTCACTGTGACTATATCACAATAAGCAGTCTACCAGTGAGTCCTATTCCTGCCATGCACGATTCACAAATAAAAAAAGCCTTAACTGTGCTCTGTTCTATTGTAAAGCACACAGGAAGCAGCAAGAACACAAAAGAATTTTAGGGGGGAAATACAACGAAAGACATAGGGAAGTGTTTCTCCCTACTTGTTTCATGCTTTGGCCGCCTCCTGACATCTTTACAACAGAACAGAGAGTTTATTTGTTTTATGATAAAGAATCCATTTAATTCCCCATGCAAAACAAACTATTGGCAGATGGTGTGACAGCTTCAGATCCATGTTTCTTTTAAGTCCCAGTATATCATCCACAGACATACAAGTAAAAGAGTTGAACTAAATTTGAATTTCGTTTACTGGCTTTGATAGAAAACGTTTTTGTAGCTTGTGAGAGCTTTTATCTTTCCTCTCCCTCTCCTTCTGCACCCTCTGTCCTTTACCCAAGTTAACCAACCCAAATATCCCATAAAGTCGTAAATACCCAGGGCTTTCAGGTAGTATTTTACTGTGTGTATAGTGCTATCTATGAATCATAAAATTATTACTGTTTTATGTAAGGTTTATTTTGTTGCAGGTCTTTCCTGAGGAGGATATACAGATAAAATGAGTTCATTTGGGCAGCTACTGACCTTATTTCTCTGGAATCCGTGGACACATCTTGCCTTGACAATTATCAAGACTGTTTTTTCATGCTTCAACACACTTTTGAGGATGTTGAGAGATTCTTAAAAATGAACACTCAACGGTGCATTTTGCTATTTGCTTGGTCTTTAAATAAATGTGATGTTAAGCATTGAGTGATAATAAAACACTCTCCCCACAATAAAATATTATTGTGAAATGTAAAATTTTGTTTAGTCATTGACCGTGCACTGACTCAGCCATCATCATTATTTTACAAACTCTAAACCAAGGCCCTGTTCATATAGTACTTTTTTGTTCAAAAATGTGTACATTTTTATGTGTTTTGCTCTTGTGCCCACACTTAAACTGTCTTGGTATCTGAGATTACATGAACAGGGGTTCAGCTATACTATGGTATTACTTTTGAACCTGTTGATAGCTTACCCTCTTCTTTTGGTTCTTTTTGAAAACTGACAAAATCATTCTTTACGGGTTTGCCCAAACTAAAAAGGCTAAATATTGTTTGTAAATACAGTCAAACCCTGTTAATATGGACACTGAGGGGTGATAGAAAGTGTCCATATTAAGAGGGTCTTCGTTATAATGAGGTCTTCGCAGTAAGCAGATGTCTGTAAAGCAGGGTTTAACTGTATTGTCTATGCTTATCAAAAATTTCGAGCGCCAATGCTGAGGTGACGTTCTAAGTGTTACGTAACAGTGTTACACTGGGAACATCCCACAGGTTAGTTACTAAACTTCTTTTACAATTGGTCGAGATTTTTTGGAGGAGGTCTCTGGGAGAAAAGGCAGGAAAACACAGGTTAATGAATGCGCCCCCTGATTTAGACGTTTGCTTTAATCTATGGAGGTTTTCTGCAATCACTTTTCATGTTGGCTTCTGATCATTAATGAGGAAGTTCCGATTCTCTTGTTCGGGACTGATCATGCGTTGAAAATATGAGTGGTTTGTTGAAGACATTCATTAGTTATTGGGCCGCCCATGAGAGCTATGCCCATTCAAGAACTACTTTCCACCTATACGCCACTTGCACATCTTCCATAATGCGCCTTATTTGC